TTAATATGCAACATGAGTGACCTGCACATATTTGTATATGCATAGCTTCATATTTTTCTCAAACTCTTTGGTTTTTATTACTTACATACGTATTTGTATGTGGGGCGTTCCATGCCAAAACGGATGGGGTTCACACTTCATGTGTTTGATTTGTTTAAAATTTTTAGGATTGATGTATAAACATAAATAATAAATAAATATGAAATTTGAGGTTGATTTATACATTTTTAAAAACTTTACAGCACAAAAATAAAAACAAATCGATTTAACAGTCTCCCAAATATCTCAACAGGGCGAGGAAAAAATTTGAAAAAAATCACACATACACACATAAAAATTGTTTATGAAAAGAAATATTTTTAAAATTTTGTTTTCTTGAACAATTTTTCACAAACAAATTTTTTGTTTTTTGTTATTTTTGGCCTTTATAACAATTGAAATGTGGTGATTTCCGAAATAGGTATCACTTCTACCATTTTCTCAAATTATTGTTGCTTTTCCACGATAAACTTTCATTGAAAAACGGCCTCGACCTCAATAAAAATTGTTGAATACAAATTTTTTGATAAAAAATTAGTTTTTTAAAATATGCCTCCTCAAAAAAAAAAAATAAAAATCGCAATGGGTTGCATATTTTCAAAAACTATTTTTTTTATCAAAAAATTTGTATGTGAAAGATTTTTCCAGATTTTTTTTTTTTTAATATTTCTTTTCGTGGATAATTTTTATGTACATACGTGTATTTTTTTTTTTTAATTCTTCCCTCGCCCCGTTCTCCAGATATATGGAAAACTAGGTAAATCGATTTGCTTTTGTTTTTGTGCTGCAAATTTTTTAAAAATGTATTTGATAAGCTCAAATTTCATATTTATTTAATATTTATATTTTTGCATCAACCCTAAAAATCTGAAACAAATAAAACACATGAAGTGTGAACCCCGTCCGTTTTGGTATGGAAGGCCACTTGTACGAAAATACATACCTTCCGTATTTATAGGTTTCCCGCCGCATTTGATTTTGTACCTTCTTCATACTTCATATTTCAAATGTACATTTCCATGAGTACTTGCATGCAATAAAGGCAGCGCATAGGAAATTCGAAAGACTGAAGCAGCGAACTTGATGTAAAAAGATTGTTGCGTTTTTCGTGGTTATATTCAGATAATGATAGCCTGATAAATTATAAAATATTTAATTAAACACAATATAAGGGTAAAAAAAACCCTTAAATTGCCAAATATTTCTTTATGCCATTGAACTTAGAAAGAGTTTCTGACAAGTATGAATTTATTATACGTATAAACATATATACATACAGTGGTGGAAGAAATGATAGAAACTTTTTACTTTGACCATTTTTGGATATATTACTTTGTTTATTCGATGTTTAATATTTTTGAATAAAAGTCTAGCGCAATATATAACACACACCATATAAATCCACATTTCCACATTAACACACACTATGTTATATATTTCGCTAGACTTTTATACAAAAATATTAAACATCGAATAAGCAAAGTAATATATCCAAAACTGCTCACAGTAAAGGGATTCTACTATTTCTTCCACCACTGTATATAAATACATATGTAGATATAGATTTACTAAATGGATCAATATGGTAATGTAAGGTCAAGGCCAATTTTTATGTTAGTTACTTCTTTCAGGAATACCTACTTGTTTCGCCTTCGAGGTCGATAAGCCTATTTTCATTTTCTGAGATTTTTTGTCATTAAAGATTAATCTTCCTACTCTTGGACAAAAGTATGACACCTTTGCCCACCCTAGCGTATTAAGGTTATGAAGCACAATTTAACTCTTGGATCACCGACAAGGTCCCTAGCATTTCGATCTAACCGCCGCAGCCTATGTGGCTTCAATAAATGGAGTAGCTAGAATTTATTAACATATCCGCCAACAAGATTGCAAGATATCGTTTATCATAATCACCTAATTGATATAATTATAGTGTCGATCTACGTACAATTTATTCTTATTTATCGGGTAAATATCGTACCTAGGCGCATCTCTCAAGCCATCATGTGAACTCCCTTTGATCTCATCGCCCTTGTCCTCCGTTTGAAGAACCACAAATCGCGCTTCAAATTTGAGCTGGAATACTTTTTACAAGCTTGCCCCGTCCATTGGAGTTCTAGCACTGTGGTCACATTAAATTTTTATTTTCCGGGGACATCCAACAGTTAGATAAGGCAGCTTCCCTACAAAAAGTCCGTAAATATCAGGTGCATATCTGCAAACCGTAGTAGTAGTTTATGATCCCAATATGCCGAGATTTCTTTGAAATTTTTACTGTTCATTGTTTTTACGTGGCGAGTTTCAAGCACGGCGCACAAAACATTGCTAGTAGGTTTTTAAAATATGCACACTTTTATAGCGAACCGGTTGCTTCAAGTGGGCCCTTAAGCCGAATAAGTCGGCCCCTCTCTCTGTCTACTGTGACCCAAAGCACTACACGGAGTTGGCTACCGTATCTCGTACATGGAGCAATATGAGCCCAGAGTGCGCGAATGCGGCCGCAAAAGCCAGGATTTAGTATGGTCCTGCAACAGGAAGTGCAAAGCCAGAAGAACGTCCATAACCCATAGCAATCCTGACGCTGATTAATTAGTTTAATATAAAAAAAAAAATTGTGTTAAAGTTGCTCCTTATCTTACCAGCTACTTTAGGAAACTATAGCCTTATAGGAGGCTATTTGCTATGTATAATTGTATCTTAAAGATAGCCTAACCTGTAAGTGATAGGTAAAATTATAGTATCAAATCAAACAAAACATGTTTAGCTAATTGTGTGTTAAATAAGTCACTAATAGCCAAAGCGAAATAACGCCAACTCACAACAGCAGACGTATGTACAAATACACGCACAGAGCAGCAGCAGCATCAGCAGCAAAAAGCGGCTAACCAAAAATGGGAGCAGACGTGAAAAAAAAACAAATATCTACGCATTTCCTAAGCAAGTTGTACGACTGCTGGCATGAGTGTGTGTATGTGTTTGTACGCATGTGTTCGCCACAAGATTGCAATTAATAAATACATAAATAAACAACACGCACCAAATGTGGTCGCGCTGAAATTAACAATTCCTGTCTGTTGCTGTTGCTGTTGCTGTTGCCGTGGCTGTTGTGGCGCGCCACCAAGACGACGACTGCCAAAGAATAAAATATAAAAGCAAAACTACCACGCTTTGACAAAGTGCACAACGGCAAAGTGGCGCAGTGACAAAGCGTCAAACCAAAGCTGCTGGCAAAGCAAAGCTTATGGTATGAAGCGCAAGCGCAAGATCCAGGCCACGCAGGCGCGGTAAAGGGCGACAGCAAACATCCCCTGAGACGATGTTAATGTTTTTTTTTAAATTTCGATTTTTTTTTTTTCGATTTCTTTGCTGCTCAAAAGTCTCTGTGTGGTTTTAAGGTATCTGTGTTCCTGGAAATTGTGCCACGATTCGTTGCCAATTAAAATCCTGTCGCAACTAATACCAGAAGCGACATTTTTGCTTGTGTTGTCGACTAGTTTGTTTATACTTTCGTCGGCAGCAACTAGAGCAGCGACAAATCAGTGACATGTGGAAATGAAATGGGTTAAAGAATGTAGTTTATGGCAGTGTGTGCAGAGTAGGAGAAAAAACAAAACGAAACAAAAAAAAAAATGTTTAAAAATAAGAAGTAAACATTTCGCATTGCTGCATATACAAACACGTTCCGAGAAAGGCTTGGGAGCAAAGTGGTAATGGGCAAAGTTTACTGAGGACTTTATTCTGTATGCAGTTCGGGCGAATATTAAATAGAAATAATCATTGTTTTTGTTTTTTGTATTCCTCATTTTAGCTGCGCCACAACGTCCCATTGTGGTCTTAGCTAAGTAGTCATCTGCCAGCTAAAATACTGCCAATAGCCAAATAAAGCTTATTGCCTGCATCCTCTCAGCCAGCCGTTGGCGTATTTTATTGGCATTTGCCGGCATTTTCCAAAAGGGTTTATGGTTTTGTTGATTTGCTACTTAATGTGCGTCGAGTGTTGTGGTCCAACACCAAGCCAAACCAAAGACTCAACCAATGGCTCCATCAACTTGGACGCAAATAACTAAATAGCGCACTGACTGCAGCTTCCGCAGTCTCCATCTGCAGTCTAAATATACTCCATCGCACTGCTGGCTCGTGTTTGCTAGCTTCCTTAGCCCGGGGCAAAATTTTCGCTTGCACTACACTCAGCCAGTCCATGTGTATTTTGTTTTAAGCGCCTTAGAACTTCTCAGCACTTAAACTCTACTCCCGCCCAAAGTATTTATGGCCCTCCGCTCCACCTTTTTCGCTTTTTGTTGGCTTAGCGCTATTCTATTCTACTTACCGCTGCTATGCTCTGCTCAGCTCAGCTCTGCTCCCGTTTACAAATATGGCCAGCCACGCACATTTCACTTGCCATTCAAGCCAAGTTAATTTATGTTAATTGCTGCAATGGCAACATGTAATTTTCCTTCAACTGCTTCACCTGCACTGCATAGTAATGTCTCGCAACTCGCAAGTGCGCTAAAGCCACTACACTCACATGCATATACTTACATACATACATATGTATGTACCTGAATACATACATATTTGCGCAGGCAGCTGTGACTGCAGAGCGTATGTTCAATAGTGTTGCTGACATTGGTAAGTTTTGCTGTTGTTGTTGTTTTTGTTGCTCTTACTATTGCTAGCGCATGTGGTACAACCATCACTTTACCATTTTTAGGTATTTTCCTGTCAGCATCTCGTTTGTTGCATTCATTGCGATTTTCTTAAATGAAATTTATTTTATTTGCACAACATTTTTCCATTATTTACTATTTATATTCATTGCATTTTTATTTTTTTTTTTCTCTTCCTCTATCGACTTAGTTTTTATGCTTAGCTTCATACATTTCCATTTACTTAATTCTGTTTCTTTGTATCTCTTTGTTAATCCATTTCGTTTTTATATTTTACTTGTTTGTTCTTTGCAGAGCACTCCAGTTGGCACAACAATCTTCCGCCACATACAAGCGCTGGACAAGGATGCTGGTGTTAATGGACTCGTTGAGTATTTTATTGTTGAAGGCAATACGAATACAACCGAAGACGAGAAGATGACAATTGCCGATGGTTATGGCATATTCGTAATTTCCTTTCCGCATCAAGGGCAGGTGAGTGTGTATATGACAGTTATGATGTGGAAAACTATAGCGGATGCTGCAGTTAAATGTTGTGTATTGATGAGATGCATAGCATTTCCAGGGAAAATAAGAGAGAATTACCCAACTAATCTGTGAAAACTAGCAGCCACATTGAAGAACATTGCAGCCCTCTTGACAAACTTTAACCTTAAAATCGCCGCAAAGTGATGATATGTTGTCAATGCGTCAAGAAAGCGTCCTTTCAGACGAACTAATCCTTAGATTTAAGCCTGGCATCGAACAATTTTCATGAGACCATAAGTGCTGACCCAATACAGAAAAATCGCACTTCCTATTGTAGGCAGCGATCTCAATATATAATGTCGCGATTCGGTCCCAGGACTTTTTTGGAAAGTTGCAAACTACCCACATCTCAGCGTGCAAATATTAAGAACACGTTAACGGAGACAAATCTACACGAAGTTCTTTTTACAAAGGAAAATCCATTACTAATAATAATAATAATAATAGTTTGGCGCTTACACATATGTTAGTGTTTGGCCGAGCTTCTCCTCCGACTTGTGGCGTGCGGCTTGATGTTGTCACACAAAGCGGAGGGACCTACAGTTTTACGCCGACTCCGAACGGCGATTGTATTTTTATGAGAAGCTGTTTTTCATGGCAGAAATACACTCGGAGGTTTGCCATTGCCTGCCGAGGGACGACCGCTGTTAAGAAAAGCGTTTTCTATTTTTTTGGGATGTTGCTTTGACCAGGGCTTGAACCCAGGTGCTGATGTGTGAAAGCGCGCACTGCTTACCACTACACCACAGCGGTCGATTACTACCATCCTCTAAAAAGAGAGAGCGTTCAACAACTTAACAATCAAAGTAGTCCCCCAATCTCTTGTAAAGACTTGAGTATCTGACCACATGGGGTTAGATGAGGTGCTGTGAACGGTTGAGGGCACAGTAGATATCTTGGTCGCAGTGCAGTTAATATGGACCTCACCCGAACATCATCCCGCTATGCAAATTGGCCACATCTCAACGGCGAGTTCTATCTCGGCTGCTCTGGGCACTAATACTGGCCGATATTCCACTAGAACTCGGCAAAGCAGAACGAAACTTGAAATGTAGTTTGATCAAAACCGAGCCGGGACTAAAATCAAAGTTTGTCCTTGAGGTAGAAAGCAAAAGTTGCAACCCTTTTAAAAAGGGTAAAACCTTATTGTTTTCCTCGTCAAACTAATAACCAAAATAACCATGAAGGGAACTATCAGATTCTTAATCAGCGACCCCAGTAACCTCCTGGTAACGAGTTTGAACCCATGACAACACATAAAACGTTCAGTATCAACGTTTTAACTTATCGGTCTCTTTTCGAAAGCATATCTTCGGGCACTAGGCCCATTCTAACTGTCCATGACAGGTATGTAATTAAGGGAATATACCCCGATAATATCTGACTAGTTACATGTAAAAACGACATTTTTAGCTGTCCTATAACATGTCACGAAAATAAAAAAATTTAAAACGTCAGCGTTTTTATAAAAACCCGTCTAGCGCGATCTCCAAACTATTTTTTTTTCCAAAACAAAAATACGTGTGTCTTTTTCTCTCACAAATAACAATATTTTGATATAGTGTTTATGAATTTTGAAAAAGAATTTTTAGTTTCAGGTATATCAATAAACTAGGTGAAACCCTAGTTTATGCGATTGTTAAAATCGAAAATGGAAAAATCAAGGTTTCAAAAAATGGCCTCAAAATATTAAAAAAAAAAACAGTTGAAATCGGTTTGGAAAAATCGAGTCAATCAACTTAGCCAGTAAGTCAAATAAATTAGGCTTTTTAATTAATTTTTAAAGACATACATACATTCGTACATACATATATTCTCATTAGACGCGAGTTAAACTCACCATTGTTCATTTGCCTCTGAATGTATTTAAAAAAAATTACCTTCAACGTTATTTATTGAAAACCAAATTGTTCTTAATCGATATGAAGATATTAAATAGGTTTAAATTGATTCAAACTAAAACCATCTAAGATAAGCAAAACTTCAGCACTTCGCAGAGTAAGACTTGTAAATTCGAGCAATAAATCTTGTCAAATTTCTATCGATGAATTTCTGAACAAATCTTAAAATGCAATGCAAATATCACTGAACAAAAACAACAACACCAAAGGCACAAAAGGCATGTGCTTGGGTACATGTATATGTATATAAATATATGGGGCGCTCCATCCCAAAATGGACGGGGTTCATACTTCAGGTGTTTGATTTGTTTCAAATTTTTAGGGTTGATGGATAAACATAACTAATAAATAAATACGAAATAGGAGCTTGATTAATACATTTTTAAAAACTTTACAGCACAAAAACAAAAACAAATCGACTTGATTTCCAAATATCTCGAGAACGGGGCGAAGAACAAATTTGACAAAAATCATATACACACACATCAAAATTCTCTATGAAAACAAATATTTTTTAAAATTTGTTTTTCTTGAAAATTTTTCCACATATAAATTTTTTGATAAAAATAATTAATTTTTGAGAATATGCCATTTCAAAAAAATTAAAAAAAAATCAAAATGGTAGCTCTGAGTGTTGCGCAATATTTAATCATAGTATTTCGGGGTGCATTCTACAATAATTTGAGTTAAGCATTTTTTTTTTACACCGAAGTTAGGTAAAATGAGAACATTACAAATTGAAAAATTTTTTAAATTTTTTTTTAGAAATTTTTTAAGTATGCAGTTCGGTAATCCATTAAATTTTGGTATAATAAAGTGCAAGTTTTAAAACTGCGTTGATTTTTAATATTTTTTATGCTGACGGCTTTTGCACTTTTGGAAGATAAAAGTAGAGTTTTTAAAAATGTATTAATCAAGCTCCAACTTCATAGTTATTTACTATTTATGTTTGTCCATCAACCCTAAAAATTTGAAACAAATCAAACACTTGAAGTGTGAACCCCGTCCGCTTTGGTATGGAACGCCCCATATATACATATACATATATGCATGTGTATGCAATTTTATAAAGTCGTAGTCATGTTGCGTTGGTGGCCCCAAACATTTGGCAAAATTTATCTGCATCTTTGATAGACAAAGAAACTGTGTGCATACGAATAGCTGCATACTCGTATGCTGGTGTGGCCTTCCACTGTCATTCATTGTCAATAATCAATCAAATTGCATGGCAAACAACAAATATTGAAATAGCTAATCGTAGAATTTTATATTTATACGTACATGTGTAGTTGTTGTTTTTTTTTTAATTTTTTCCGATATCTATTTATTATTGGCGAAATATTCGTTTCGATATGGCGCAGCGCCCGAACACACCCCGATCGTCATGATTGATAGGAATACCATCTGTATGAGTATTGTATTGGATATAATTGTTGCGACATAAATAAATCAAGTAGATAACCTATGTCTTTTTAATGGACAAATAACAATCAAATACTTTTTTATCCGCAGGTGACTATAGCCAAGACGTTGGATTACGAGAAGGTGCAACGTTACTATCTAACCATTGTCGCATCGGTAAGTACAAACGAGTAATACATACATAAATATGTACATAAATATTTATTTACATCACTACACTTCACATTCCTGCGTAAATGTAGCATTGTAGCTTATGAATAGTTATGTTAAGTGTAATTCATTAAATGCTGTCAACTAAACATTGGTGTTGACACATAACTGACATGCCGCAGGAACGCACATACCTGTGTGCATTTATACATATGTATATACACTTGTCGTCAGCTGATTAAGTCGAGTGACATTTTGACTAGTTTTGGCTAATTTTCTTTTGTTTATTTAATGTTTATACTTTTATTTATAAAAGTTTAGCAATTTCCCTAACCAGCGTCGTACAAATATTATGGAAATTCAATAATTTCTAACATTTGCACACAAAAATTTTAAACATTTTAATGAGAAGTTTTAGAAAAATTTTGGGTATGAAGTCTTGTAGCTCATTAAATTCAAGTAGGTCAAAATGCAAATTTCAAGAAGCTAGAAAATCGCGTTGATTTTTAATATTTATTTGTGCTGATTGGTGCTAGGCACTTTCTCCCATACAAAGGAAATTGTCGAGCATATTTTATATGGAAGAAAATGCACAACACCGTCAGTCTACAAAAAATTATTAAAAATCAACGCGATTTTCTAACGTCATGAAATTGCCACTTTGACCTACTCAAATTTAATGAGCTGCAAAACTGCGTACCCAAAATTTTTCTAACAATGCTGAATAAAAAGTTTAAAATTCGTGTGCAAATTTTTAAGTTTCTTGAATTTTCATAATATTTGTGCGAAGTTTGAAAATTCACAATTTATGTGGGGCTTGTTAGGTAAAGTGCCAGACTTTTATATAAAAAATATAAACTTTAAATAAACAAAAAAAAATTGCCAAAACTTTTCAAAATGTCGCTTGACTTAGTCAGCTGACCACAAGGGTATGTATGTTTATAGCTATGAATATACATCGTTGCATTTATGACTTTCAAGTTGACTTCATTACTGATAGAATAAAAACGCAACATACTTAGCCATATACATATATGTATGTACAAATATATATACGCATACGATGAATATGTGCTTACATATGCCGCACAAAGTCACCGCACAACTTTCTTTGCTTCATTCTTTCACCATTTTTCGCTGCTGGCATTCACTTCCTGTACTCCTTGTTGCTGCAGAATTATCTACTCAACTCTGTGCACTAGCTTGTAAGGGCTTTGCCGTGAAAAAATTCATAAATCGTTGCCTGTTGGATTGTTTGCGCTTCATTGCACTGAATTGAGTGTCACACCGTTGTTGGTGAGGCTTTGGTAATTTGATATCAGCGGGGCTTAGGCTGTCAAGTTGGCTTGGAACTAATGAACCACGAGTATTTACCGACAATCATTCAGTCGTAGAGATAAATGCACATATCAACACATATCTTTGTACATACTTATATAATCAGAATAGTTTTGAATTTTTGCTGTGCGAATTCCTTTCTTAACTGCTTTATGAACTTCTTTGTAGAAATCTGAAAGAATAGAAAAAAAACTGAAATTTCATATTTCTTTAAAACTAACCTCATAAAGGTATTATTATTGCTAAAAAGATATCAGGGTTGAAAAAATTTAGAATTTTATGACCAGGAAATCGCTTTGGATCAAATTCGCTAGTGATAATTCCCGATCGAATCGAGAGTTCAAACAGACTCCCTAATTTTGATCATCAATACCTACATATGTATGTAAGTACTTATGTGTAGCAAGCGTTAAAAATGGTGTTTTTGCAAAAATGCAAATCTATTGCCGATTCCGGGAGAATACCCAATCCGTAAAATGTTTCTTTGGAAAGAGTTTTGTTTAAGATAAAAAAGACCCTTTAGAAATCGGCGTGGCAGTTTTAGGACTAAAAATAACAAAACGCAGATTTAATTGTGGATTTCTGTAGATTATCCCTTAGTTAACAACATTTGTTTCGTAATTTTTTTTTAATCGAAGAATCTTCTAGAAATGGCGTGGCAATTTTAGGGCCAAAATTAAAAGATTGAGTTTTTTTGTGTACCTTAACCGAATATCTATTCACTAACAACGTTTGTGCCGCAACTTTTTTTTTTTGTGAGAAGAAAGTCTTATTTGGAAGTTGCTGCAAATGCGTATTCAGGCAATTTTTTCCAAATTGAGTGCGGAAAGTCAATGTACTATATACATAGGAAGCGAGTCTATGCTCTGCGAAGCTGCTGGTGTTCACACTGAACGAGTCGGAATGAAGCTCCTCGCATGAAATCGGCTGCAAAGATTCCACAAAAATTTCATAATGCTGTAGAATCTAAAAATTTTAAATCAAAAGAAGATTTGCTTTTTTTGGCTACACTTACGCAATAAGAAGTTCAAGTGAACATTTTACTATACATATGTTTTAATAAATTGTGCTTGAGTGTTTAAATTATTATCAAAAAAAATAAATATAAAAAAAAATTTCCTCCGTATTCAGTTATTTTTAGTTAATACATATCTTTATTTATGACAATATTTCCACTAATTAACAGCTTAATTGCTGAGCATAGAAAACAGTCAGGTTTCCAAGTGTTTTGAGGCCAAACAGTAACCACAGAAACTTACCGTATGGCCATTTCTGGCAATATGAATCACTAAATCAATGGCAAAAGTGCCTTTTAAGCACTTGCATTATATAAGTTAGCTTAAGCGAAGAGTTCGACTATGTGACAGCAGTACATACATAAATGCAACAGCAAGCTAATATTTGTGACCAATCCGCCGGGATGCCATTGCCACAGTTTGACTTCGAGATGGGGGAATTGGGATGACAGGAACGAGCCAAAGTTAATTCAATTTATTTTTCCATTAACTGCAACTGCAAGTTATTAGATGAGTGAAATATATCCAGCAAAGAAGTTTAAATTGAAATACATGTAGGTGTGTATGAGTGCATGAAGTGCTTCCTTTTTTCTTTGTTGTATGTTTATTTGTATGACAGCATAGTGCCACACATTACAATCAGACTTATGAGAACAACTAATGGTAATAAAAGCTTTGCGCTATCACGCTGGTCAAGTGGTGAATGTAACTCACTTAAAATGGTAAAAATACGCGGCACGTTTCAGTGCAAAAAGGCGCGAGTCCATTAAAATCCAATTAAAATGGTGCGAGTTGCCGTTAAGAATGGTTGCATGGGTAAGATGGATGGCGGTATGATGAAAAATGTGTAGAATGAGTATTTTTTAGTATGTGTGTGCTTGAATGCCGTTTACCGTATTGACTATGCATGCTTACATATACATACATATGCTTATGTACATATGTATGTGTGTTTAAATCAATTGCATGGTGGGCTGACGGTCACAGCCCACTTCCTCAAACAAGCTGCCTGCAAACAAATGTGTGGGCATATTTATATATATGTGTGTGTATGTTTGTGTACGTAAGTCTATGTTACCTGAGAAGCAGACTATTTGGTAAACTAGCGTACCACTTGCCAAGCTTATTGGCTGATTATTAATTTTTATATCCAATTCATTGATATTTTTGTACCCATGGATCAAAATTAAAAGACGAAATTTTTTTTTAAGTGTTTCTTGGATTTTCTATGTCTAATCTGCGCTTCTAGAAACAAAGGTTCAGTTTTTTTTTAATAAAAATTTTAAATTTTTAGTTACAAAATGTTTGGTAACGTTTAGAATTGATTTAATAATAGAGTTGGGTCTTAGCCAGCTAGCCGCGGTCGTGCGCCGGCCAGAAATACTGCAACTTTACATGCAGAAGTTTTTCCTAGCGTCAGCTTAGCCAACTGTCAGCCCATCTGTCAAAGATCAGATCACAAGTAGCAAAGTGAACTTCTCTGAACTACCTGTCCAGGGAGATGACTTCATTCATATATGGAGCCCTAACCGCCAGAAAAACGTAAGCGAAATTTGTTTTTTTAATTTTCGTTTGGATGTAAAAGTGCATCTAGAGCATCTAAAGAGCATTACTGCACCAAAAAAAGAAAATACAAAAAAATTTCGCTTACGTTTTTTGGCGATTTGGACTCGATATTTAAGTAAATAAATTAATAACAAGTAGTTTTTAAGCAACAAACACAACTGACTTTAATTCTCATATAAAAATTTAGGATTACCGTTAAATTTTTCATGAACCAATGATCGGATCTAAACCAAGTTAGTATGGAACCACCCTGCGAATCATCGAAATCGGTTAACGTGGTCCAAAGGTATACGTTAACATACATAGAAAAAAATATTCCGGCGAATTAATAACTTCCTTTTTTTGAAGTCGATTAAAAAAAACATCATTAGCGGGTACGGAGCTCAGAGAGGAAATCGGAGCGAAAAAAATTACCGGAGCGGAGCGATGACAAAAAATCTCTGCTCCAAAGCTTTGGTTGAAGCGATTGGAAGAAAGTGAATGGATTCACAAACCAATTCTCATTTCTGGTTTCCATAGGGCTTTGAACTGACTAAAATGGCAAAAAAAAAGTTTTACTATGTATATAAAAAATGTCAGCTGCGTGCAGAATTATCAAATGACTAAATTTTCGCGCTACATAAACTGCAGATATTTTTCAAAGCCCAACTTTTGCATTAAGATTTTTTATTTACTTTCTCAAACTTTTTATGTCTTTTGGTTTTCGGCTCTTTTATGCGTTGGGTATGATACATACATATGTAAGAAGTGTACTGCTTTTCTTTTACTCCACCAATACTCGTCAACATGCTCTGATTTAATTCTTTTTTCTGTAATTGCGCAACATCTGGCTGACTATAAAATATTAGCTACTCAAACGCAAATAATGTTACTTTTTTGCCGCATTATTTTCATTTTTTATTTTTTAAGTTCAGAAATTTACTAGATTTTCGCATTGAAAATTGGCTATTCGAGTAGCGATAAATTGTATTTTTCGGGCGTATAAATTCACATTCATTACAACAAATTATGTTATTGTCTGTGCGCGATCTTATTTCTCACATGCCGCTCCAAACATGAAGTTTGTTCTCCGACAATTGCAATTTT